CAGGCTACAAAACTAAGCAAAACCTCTCTAACCTTAAGATGCCTAGAAAAAGAAGAGAATCTCTCTTGTTTCTCACTGACCAAGCATGGAGTTGGGGATAACCTCATTCTAAGCTATTTTGGAGCTGACGCAAGGAGCAAAGGACCGGGCAAGTAGGACCTTGGGGAAGAGGAAGATTTTTGTGGTAGCTTGGAGAGTCTTAAGAGATGGTTATGATGGGGAAGGGCAGTGCTCTATCAGTGATATCTCTGCCAGAAGTAACTGGCCCCCTCAAAAGGATCTGTGGAAGATGAATGAACGAGGAGACCAGTTTACAAAGAGTGAGTGGATGGAGCCCAGGGAAATCAATGAGAAATGGTGAAGCACACTGACTCCCAGCGGTGGGAAGTGTAGGAACCCAGATGACCCCTGCGCCCCCTAGCAGGTGTGTGGGAGTGGTGGAATGCAGATAGATGAAAAGTCACTCTCATGAGGACCAGGAAAGAACTTGAAACAAATGTTTGGACCAAACATGGAAGTAGTCCAGACCTCAAAAATGCCAGGGGATTGACAAAACAGGGAAGGCAGTGAGAACTCAGCCAAGTGTTCATGTATCAGGTCCACACAAACAATGAAGCTCTGCTTAAGGCAGAGTCTGTGCTGAGCCAGCCAGCAGAAGCTGCAATAGATAAAATTAAACCCCTTTTTTGTCTTCATCACAAGCCAAATTTTGCTGAAGCTGGAAGCAATCCCAGGATGTAGTAAGTCCAGGGTCTGTTCATGCGAAACTTTATGAAGAAGAGCCTGTCATTTAGGTGGAGTACAACTTGGGCACAGAGTCAGCGGAGTCCCTAAGTGCTTTTCAAAAATCAGGCTTTATTGGGGGTGGGCCTCTGAGAAAGTCTCTTTTGTACTAAGATTTTGAACAAACTGAGGAATAAGGCAAATAACAAATGGAACATTGAAGCATTTGTTAAAGATCAAGTTGGATGACGTAACTTACACTAAAATGGGCTTCCTAATATCAAATCTCAGATTTTGACAGGTTTCCCCAGCCAAGCCAACTCCCTACCCATCATCTCAAAAACAGAGCTTGACTCCTAAAAATAGAGCTTCTATTCCCTGTATTTTGCTCTCAAAAGGAAAACAGCTAAGGCTAAATTAAGCATGCTGGTCATTCTCTGGGTCTCTGGACCACGGTGTTTGTATTTATTGCTTCCTCTGCTTGGTAATTCTCTGTCCCTCCTCCTTTTGGGCTTAATAAACAACTACTTGTTTTTTAAAATCTCCTCCAGAAGTCCTTTTATCACATATTCACATTAAATGATGTGAAGATTATCCCACTACACTTAACCTTTCTCCTAACATTTACTTATCCTATGTCTTTATAATTGCCTGGTTACTTGTCCATAACTCTCATAAAAATGTAAATTTCCAGGCCTAAGTCTGGTTACTCTCGACTGCCTACCATCAACAAATAAAAATAAAAGATGACTATCCTGCTTGTATTTAAAAACTAATATTTGTGAGAGAAAAATTATCTACAAACTCAATTTTTTACTCCCTTCAAAATATCAGCTACCTTTTTTTTTCCTCCTGCACAGAAAAAGACATTGATCGCACTGCCATTCATTCCCTTTAATCTTGTCAAACTCAGTCAAAATGAGGAGCTTAATGTGAAGATGATCATCTTTCAAGAGTCTAATGAATACTGTGTATAAGAACTGATGGTTGAAAAAGCAAAAAGCCTAAAAGTCAAACCTAGGATCTTACATGCTATCTCCATGCCTCAAATCTCACCTAAGTCTGTCCAGCTGCACCATTCAACCAGTCCTTGACTTGTTTTTGATTCCCAGAGAGGTGCTGAAACTATGGAAAGTGGAAACTTGATTAAGGAAGAAAGTAGGGCCAATGCTGATGAACCTGATCACTGCCAGGTATAGTATGACAGTCTGAACGGAGCCTCAAGTCTGGATTGAGAACATAGCCTTTTCCTGAGCTGAAAATTCTTGGGCAAATGAGCAGGAAAATGAAAGCTGCTGTTACTGACTGGCTATTTAAGGTCAGAAAATTATTTCCAGAGTAAACGCTGTGGATTAACCCTGGAGTGCTCAGGGTAAAAACTAATCTTCATTGTTAAACTACCTGTTCTTCCATATCATATCCTGCTAACTGGTATGGCCGGCCATGCTGAAGGTACCCTACTTACCTGTTTATCTGACTCAGCCCTTGCTTACCTTTGTTGACATGTCCTGCAATCAGACTTGCTGTCCTCAAGAAGACTACAACCGATTTCAGCCGTATCGTACACCCAATTCCACCAAGAGTTTTGAATGGAAGTAACCTGCATCTCACCCACCAGCACTGACTGTTCTCAACAGGAAGGACCATACTGTATGCTCTTTGACTGGCTGCAGCCTTTTTTTTAAGTGCAGAGGAAGCTTCTAAGCCTAATATATTTGATTGTTTTCAGCACTTGGGACCCCTTCTACCAGATCTGAGGGAGTACAGCAGATCAAAAGCACTGTCAATTTCTCTTTTCTGCAATTATATAGAGGTGAGTCTGATCCACCAATACAGAAATCAGAAATGTTCAACTTGGCAAAAGACTTGAAAACAAGAAAAGTTTTCCATGAACTTAAAATTTACCACTGACTTAAATAGTTCCATAGAACTATTTGCCATCGGGATGCTAGTTCTTTCGCATTATCTCAACTAGATAGTTGGGCTCTCGGCCTCATGTTACTTATACAGAAACTCTGCTGAATCATCCAGAGTGTGTTACTGGACATGAGTATTCCATTACAATGGATTATAAGCTTCCTGAGTATGGAACATAATCCTCATGATGTTTTTTTTTCAGGAATACTTTTATTAACAAGAAAGTAACAATGTCAGCTACTATCATTCAACTTTATGAGTAAAGACTAAACTTTTTCAATACCTGGTCTTATCACTGACATTAGTTATTTTTAATTGGCCAGCAATTCATTCCATCTTTTTGTAACAACTCCCTGATGTTTCTTGGAACCATAACTATTTTCAGTCCATGTAGTCCAGACAGTCTGATCTAACCTTAGTTTTCATGTGTGGATGTGAACTTCAGGTCTGATCAATCAGAAATTATCTCCTTCACCACAGAGATTGATTCAGGGATGGTCATGTGATTCAAGTTGATCCAGTGATATTCAACACTAGAAGGAAAAGCTTGGAAAGTTGATTTACTGAGATTGCTTAGCTTTGTAGGGTGAGAAAGCTCAAACCAGCAGGTTCTACCATATCAAATGAGCCAGGCAGAAAATAAAGCCAGTGCAGAGGAAAGTGGAGCCAAATGACGGAGACTTGAGTCCTGATGACAATGCTGTGCTCTTGGATCTACCTGTGCCTAAATCTAGTATGTCCTCTGGATTTTTCAGTGTTGTGAACCAATAATTACTCTTTTGTTTAAGTTTTTTAAAAAGGGGAATGTAAGTTCCCAGAGGACAAATATAGTATCTTTTTTAAAAAATATTTTATTTATTTATCTTTAGAGCAGAAGGAAGGGAAGGAGAGAGGGAGAGAAATATCAGTGTATGGTTGCCTCTAGTGCATCCCCTGCTGGGAACTGGCCTGCAACCCAGGCATGTGCCCTGAATGGGAATCGAACCATGATCCTCTGGTTCACAAGCCTGTGCTCAATCCACTGAGCTACACCAGCCAGGGCCAAATATAGTATCTTATTTAACATAGTATGACTTCTGGTGCATGAAAAGTGCTAGCTTTAATATATATTTGTTGAAGAAACATCTGATTTTGACTGCTTCTAGGTCAGTTTACTGCCATGGCCCCCATCCCAGCCAGCCTCATTTGTACTCTTGCCAGTTGCCTGCTTGGTATGTGGGTGAGAGGAATTCCAGAGCTTAGTTTACCTGACATAAAGGTGGGTGCAGTCTTAGTTGTTTTTCTAAAAGTAGCATCTAGTTCCGATGCGTTATCCCAAAACTTTGCAGTGTTTCAGAGAACTGTCCTTTGTCAGAAATCTGACTTCGCCACAAACATTTATATCCAGCTGTGAAATGTTATGTAGTTTTTGAGTGAAGATAACTGAAATTTCTTCTTTAAGTGTGCTTCTCTTTAAAAAGACCTACCAAATAAATATTTTGGAGGAGAAAACCCCTCCCCGCCTTCTGAAGGTTGATTCTTGTTGAACTTTGCTTTTCTTTGTTGCTTTTACTCAACATCCAGCATGAATGGAATTGAGGTGTATGTAATTGTGTGTCTATATATATGTGTGTGTGTGTGTATTTTATTATATGTAAATACATTTATAAATAAAGTATATATATAAAGAGGGGCCAAGTCATGAAGATTGCTGCAAGCCCGTAAACCATGTTTGAAATTAATTCTTAGAGCAAAGGGAGAGGAGGTAATAAAATGTGTTAAGTAGGTAAATGACAGCATCATAACATATGTGTTTTTAAAATGTCAGTGGCATGGAGCATATGTAAGAGAAAGATCATCTTGAAGTCAAGAGCTCTGGTAAACCAGGTGAGAGATGATGACTGCACAGAACAATTGTTTAGGAGTAAATTCAATCCAAATCAGAGATTGTTGGAAGGAGAAAGGTTTATAAAAATGAGTTATAAGTTATAGAAAAAGGTGACTGCCATGAGTAGGTGTGCAGTTTATTTTCAAACTGTGGGGGTGGTTTCTTGGGAAAGAGGAAGGGGCTACGTGGCCCTGGTGTTAATAATGGCTACTTCCAAATGCCGTGTTGGTGGTATTCCGAGGACTGGCATACCAGTTGGTTCATATTTGCAAAGTATATCTGCTCTTGGATTGATGAAGCACAAGCTACTCTCATTTTTGCATGAAGACAAAACACAGTTGTTTTATTAACGCCATGTCTAAACTAAGCCAAGTTTAGTTTGCAGCATGGTACTTTAGAAAACGAAGATTCTTTTCACGTTCCTGCCATCAAATAATTTATTGTTCATAGAAAGATGTGAATTTATACATTTTTGTTTAAGTCATTCAACGAACATTAGTAACTGTTTTGTCCTAAGTACAGACAATTCAACAAAGAGGACGCAATTTCTGAATGATAGCTTACCATCAAATGGAAGTACTCAGCTATTAACCACTGCATGGTTTGGTTCCAAATGTACAGATATTATTTTGTAAACTCCACCAGGACAAATATGAGGAGCTTCTTTATGTCCCTGGCTGGTATGGGTCAGTTGGTTGGGGGTTGTACCACAAAGCAAAAGGTTGCTTGTTTGATTCCCAGTCAGGACACTTGTCTGGCTTGCAGGCCTGGTCCATAGTTGGGGTGTGTGCAAGAGGCAGCCAACTGATGTTTCTCTCACACATCGATGTTTCTCTCCCTCCTTTTCCCTCCCTGAAAATAAATAAATAAAATCTTTTTTTAAAAAGATCCTCTTTACAAAGAAAATAAAAATGATTTATAACATTTTTTTCTATTTCCACTAACATTTCTGAAAAAAAAACATTAAAAATTATTATATTCAAAGGAACATTTAACATATATGTATTCTGATACAGGCATTAGTACAAATATTGTATTATTAATGATGATTTTTAAATATTCAGAAATGGGAATACATATATTAAATAAATTTTTACTTCAAAAGTGGCCACTGAGCCCATATCAATCAGCTATATTTATTATGGGCTACAAGCAAAATGTAAAAAAGTACCTAGACATATAGAAGCTGACATTATAATGCCATTCATTGAAAAGAGATTTTTATCTGTAATCTGAGCTTTCTTTAAATGATATTAACTGGAGGACATTCTATTTTATATGGCAAGGCTAATAAAAATTTCTGATGAAGTCAGAACATTTGGCCTGCATTCTATCTGTCTGTGCCAATGACTTTGTAATTTTTCTCCTAAATCTCCTTGGCTCTATGGCTTTCTGTGTCTAAAATATTCATTAGTACAATATGTATGATAATGACTGAAACAATAAGAACCCAATTAAAATGTAACTGACTTAGTGCATTGCTTTTTGGACACTCCCTACTTACTAAAATATCTCAACCATTCTAGACAAGGCCGCTTGTTGAATGTATTTGTTTATCACTTCAGGGCCACATTAATGAAGGCATAAAACCTACAATGTGTCTAAACAAGGCACCCTTGTACTGGCATGTGGTAAGGAGAATGGTAAAAAAATCAGTTACTGTTACCTTACAATGTTTAGGGACTAAATTCTCCCTCAAATAGAACCAAATCTAGCAATCAAGAGGAGAATTCTCTGTTAGTTTACTTAGTCTACCTGCCCATCTTCTTAATACCTTAAAAAATTGTGTAAAAGTTCCTTGGGAGGTTTTTAGGTGGGAAATGTGGGTACAAGCTGAAACCCACAGTCTACAGATAATAAGGGACAACTGTTCCTAAGTTGTGTCAACCAAATTACAATAACAATTATAAGGCAAGATTTTACTTATACCATCCACTCTTACATGGAAGCTCAATTCTCAGATTTCTACCTGCTTTTCCTTGGAGTATCCATGGATGTTCTACTTGTGATTATAACACTATCTCCTTGACTATTTGCCTGTACATGTTTGACTAGCTGCTGTGAACTGTCTGCCTGTGCCTGCTTATCAAAAGTGAGCCCTTCTGTCCACTACTACCTGCCCAGAGTACATGGATACCAAGGAAACAGCACTGTCCACCCTGGCTGGGTGGATCATTTGTTTGGAGTATTGTCCCATACACCAAAAGTTTGCCGGTCGGATTCCTGGTCAGGGCACATACCTCGGTTCAGGTTCAATCCCCAGTCAGAGCATGTATGAGACTCAGTAGATTAATGTTCTCTCTCACATCCGTGTTTCTCTCTTTCTCTTTATCCCCTGTTCTCTCTTTCTAAAAACAATAAACATACACTTGAGTGAGGATTAAAAAAGATAGTGCTGTATCCCTTGGCTACAAACCAATAGGCAATAATTATTTTCAACATGGAAACCATAGACATAGGCTCTTCTGGGATAGAGGCTCCAGCTTTTCCAAATTTCAGTTCTGGCTCCCATTGTTCCCACAACCCCATCTCATTTTGTTGTTGACATTGCACTTCAAGTTTCAAATATCAATCTAAACGAGCTAATCTAGGAGATGACCCATGAGACAGACGTCATACTGCCCAACTACGCCTCGACTCTAAACTGCATCCGTTTTCCTTTCTTTGATCCACACTGATGTGACTCAATTCACTCTTCAGGTTTCAGCACAAATATAATTCTCTAGGGAAGTATTCTCTGACTTCCCTCCCTGAACTAGGTTAGGTCCCCTTATACTATACTTCCACAGCATCTATAATTCTTTGAAATGCTTATTTCACTTGCTCATGGTCTGTCTTCTCTGGGGGGCCAGAGATCATGGCTTTCTGTGCCTCACCTCACAGAAGGTGTGGCACTTTGCACACACAGCTGGAATTCAGGAAGTATTCATTGAATGAATGGATTCTGTGATCAAATAGACTTTATTACTGCAGGAAGTTACCTATTTATTAATAAAGGAAGGAAGCAAAGAGATTGAGACATTGTTGAGCATAATCAGAGCATAAGCCTGCTTGCTTAACCAGAAAGCTATAGCCTCACACATTCCAGGGAATTGCAGCATTGCCCCACCAAGGATTAACACCCCTCCTTTTTCCTCTTCAGTACTGGATTGTTGGGGGGAGCAGGAGGAGGTAAGTACATGTACAATAGAAGTCAAAATGGCACAGAGGGAGGTGCTTGACCATAGAGGCCTGTCAGTCTAACCTGGGAAAGGGATCAATTGGCTAGGGGATGGACCTATCAGAAACCCACAAAAGCATGGGAAGTTTATTGGTTATTTTGAAAAGGGGCCTGGTCCATCCCAAGCCCATGATAATATAACCCAGCTCGATAAAGCAGCTGTCTCTCTTTCCCTCACTCAGGAACACGTGCCTACCCTGTTTATTCATGGGGCTCTAGCAGCTGCACGGACTCCAAACACAGGCTCCAGGTGGAAGCCTGGGTACAGCAGCGCAGCCAGAAACCATGCTAAGCTATGTGGATGGTGACTGAAATCACCTAGTAGCCACCTTCAGGCTCCAAAAAAACTAAACTTTAATATGAAACAGAAACTCTGGACACTGGCTTTTGTTTTCACTTTGCTGAAGACATGGTTAGGTTTTTTCCATGGCAGGATGGACAGAGATGGGATGCTAAAAACCCAGGGACAGACTTGTATTTCCGCCCAAATAAATCTGGCCACACCACAATTGCCCGTGTGGCTCATGGGATGAACCCTTGTGATCCCGTGAAAGAGCGCCACTTCCCCCAGTGGCAGGTTGAAGCCTCCTGTAACTAGACTCTTGCTTGTAGTATCTCTCCAGTGGTACTCCTGACACTCCCAGCCATGCCCAAATCTAGGGTGAACACATCATAACCTCGAGACCCTTGCAATGTGAGGTGTTCTAAGTAGGTGGTGAATCCATGTTTCACATTTCACAGGAGACTTCCTTTCCAGAAGAGCAAAGGAAGGGCAGGCAACAAGCCTACAAAGACATATCTCAATCAAGTTTGACTTTTTGTTTGATTTCTTTGTGGTAAATGCAGGAATTTCAGATAAGATTGGAGAGCTTGGCAAATAAAGAAGAGATGAGAACAGGAAAACTACAATAAGTGACTCAATCACCTCCACAGTTGTAGTGAAGGGCCTGGCTGGGTGCTAGTTACTGAAGTATAACAGGTGACTCACACCTGCAGGGGGGTCCCAGTTTATAATCTGTGAATCCATGGTCCTATTTTAAGAAAATGCAGCTGCCTGCATGTCTGCTGATGCTTCAGTCAGGATACCTGCCTCAGCAAGAAGGAGGAAGGTAGATCTTTTTATCAAGGCAACCGAAATGCAGGATCACATGTCATCTTACCTCTGTTCTTACTGACCCCCTCCGTGAACACTCACTAAGAGCCAGTTTCTGTGCTAAGTGAATTGAAGTAACAAGATATCACTTCTTTTCAGTTTTTTCCCTCATTTCTTTTTTTATTAAAAAAGTTGTGTCAATGTAAGTTCATATTGGATCAATAAATGGGGTTCTGTGCTTTGCTTGTCTTCTAGATAGATATCAGCCTAGTAGGACTTATTGTTGAACCCCTAGTTTGTCAGGTCTATTCCAAGAGTGGCTGAATGGAGCAGGAAATATGTGATTGCCGTCCTTTGGGAACTTAGAATGCAGTTGAAGAAACAGGATACAATTTTTAAAAGGCATTTATTCCATCCATTTTCTATTACTCATTTCTGCAAATCTAATCTAAAAACTTTTTTTCTCTCTAAGAAGCTGAGCAGGCAGTAATATCAAATAATTGCTTTAGTATTCTTTTATACTATCTTGGTAGCAATTTTTATTTCATTGGGAATTTTAACAGCATCAGATTTTAACCCCTACCAACCAGAACAAACTGACTCTTCCACACATCATCTCTGCCTCCTTCTATTCCCTTACCTTCATTGATTGCTGGTTTTGCAAGCTTAGAGAACAGCCTTGTGAGCAAGTTGCCAACGCTAAATCGTAACAGTTATTTTTGAGAGCCACTGGGTCTTCACAAATATCTTCTAGTAATGGTGTTGGTTGAAAGGAAAAAGCTCCTGGTTTTTGTTCCTTCTTGACCTGAAGTTTCCCTCCCAGTTGGCCTTAGTCAATTGAATAAGCAAGGCTTCTTCATATTTATTATTTCCTAAGATTAGCAGAATGTTCAGTTATCGATGTTGTCAGAATCTTAGGGAATTGCACTTTTCACTTCAAGGCAGGATGGCTTTCTGATGGATGGTTCCCTGGGCTCCTCTGACTCTGCTTTCTGCTCTTTTTCCTTCTCTAGCTCATTGCATGCGGCTGTTGTCTTGCGAAACGCCTGATATTTTGAGAGCAGAGACAAAAACACTTAAACAGTGATGGAGCTGAGGAAGGAGAGAAATACTTCAAGTAGATTGACAAATTCCTGAAGATGTGATGAGCTAGTTACTGATCTATGTGTCAGACACTGTACCTGTATTACCTTATTTAATCCTCACAACAGCTGTACAAAATAGATGCATTTTACAGACAAGGAATGGAGGCTCAAGGCAGTCAAATATCCTGATCAAAGTTATGTGATTCCTGCAGTGTGAGGCCTGGATTCAGGACCAGATGAGCCTGGAATTGTTGTCAGTCCTCTAGGTTCATACAAGTTGCTGCATACCCCATGGAGCCATGGTCAAGATCGCCACTGGTAACTCTTCCCCTTTCTCTCTCTTGGCAGATCTCTGAGCTGCTCAGGAATGCAGAGGCTGTCTTTTTTTCTGCCCCAAAAACCTACTTCAGTTCCTGGCACATTGTGAATGCTTGACAATATGAATAGAGAGAATAAATGAATGAATGCATATGTTCTTCTCCCTATTACAGAGACTGCAACAAATCGAGTAATATAAAAGAGGAATTTTTAATAATAAAGTACTATACAATATAAAGAAAGGTAGTTATTTAACTTTATTATTAGATAGCATCTTTTGAGGAAAAATACTATATTCTATTCATCTTTGTTTGTCTTCTATTCCACCCAGCTGGATCTCAATAGTTGAAAGAGTTTAATGAATACTACTTGATTGAATGAATATATGATGATTTGTCATAGTAAGACATGAAAAAGTCCATAAAAACCCCTTAAAATAAAGATTACTATGGCAAATAAAAGATATTTGGAAGGAGATGGGTGTAAATGTAATGGGGAGACTAGATCAGAAGATGCAGAGGACGAATTATTATGTCCTAACCCCTTCAAAACGTCAGATGTTGAAGCAATGTTTTCATTCTATATTAGCTTAGTCTACCAAGGTATACAGTAAAAATATGTAGGGATCAGAAAAATAACCTTCAACCTGTCTGGAGGCACTGAATACTCTTCACTTGGTCATAAATTTAGTAATGCTTAAAAAGTAAAATACCTCTAAAAGACAATTTTTTTAAATAGGCATTTTAGTTTCAAAGCTTTTATTTAAAAAAAGTCTATTCTAATTAGCGTTCAGTTTTGCACCAGTAAGTGGGGATGGCAGGTTGTACCTTTTCCTTTAGGATAAATCTCCTCTGGGGCCATCCCATCTGCTCTGCTTTGGTTTGAGGCAATTTCTGCATTTCAGTCTGTATATGAATTCTACTTCTATTTCATGTTTCAATTGCCTTGTGTACTAAGAAAATGCAAATTCTCAGAACCTAGAAATCAGATGCCAAAATGATAGTTCCACTTCACGTGTTGTCACAGCGTTCTAAATATTAAAGAGGAGGGTCCAGCTAAACATCATTTTCTAGGCATAGACGCTAATATTGCTATGAAAGAAAGCACCAAAATGTTTATGTATTATTCCATTCTATAGTTGGCAAACAGATCTATGATATGGCTTCAGAATATCTTCTTGACTATACCACATGAAATATAGAAATCTTCTTTAAATACGAAAGGGCTATTATATTGAGAAGAATTAATTATACGTATCTATAAAAGTAAAATATAGCCTACATGCTCCAATTGCTTATAATTCAGGAAATTTATCTTAAAGCAAAAAAAAAGGTAGCATAATGAAAACCTTCAAGATAAAGGTAAAAAACAAGATTTAAATAATAAAGATGGTGAAAAGTGAGGGGAAGAGATGGGATTTGACCGTTTCCTACATGTACATGTGTATACATGTATGCTTTCAAATACTAAGGTCATCTGTCAGAAACAAAAATCTGGCAAATGATGATTGATAATTTTTGTTTTATTTTGTTTGTTCTTGTTGTTTTGCTAGAGACCCCACTAGGAAAAAAAGAGGGATCTCATTTAAAAGTTTATTATAGAAGAATCTCAAAGTTCCTTGTCAATATTGATTGAGTGAAAGATTTCATTTTATTGGAATAAAACTGATGCTTAGAGTGTTTGAGGCAGTTGACAAGAGTCAGCCATGAGCAGAGCTGAGAATTTAATGCATGGTTTGTACCATCTCAGCCTTGGTTCTTTATACAATTGTTTTGCTTTTTGAAGGAGGAAGAGTGGCATAGTGGGAAATTACCAGCATAGGAGATTTTTTTTTAAAGTAAAGAAAAGGAAAGAATCTTGTGCTGAGGTTAAGTTCGCTATTTGACTAAATGGATAACCTTGAGAAAGTCTTTTGAATTTTCAAGACTTCAGCTTCCTTGCTTAAGTAGACTACGTACTGTGACAAAGTACTAGATGAAATACGAGATCAGTTTTAAGAGGTGATTTGCTGCAAAGGGAACTTTACATTTTCAACACTTCAAACTAACATCCTGTTATCCTCAAATGCATCACTATAACACAGATTTAGAGAATTACACCCTACATGAGAAACTGCATGAGACCCCCCAGGTTGAAAGATCATCTTTCTCTGCTTCATTGATACCCATTCACTTTTGTTCTGAGCAAAAGCCTGCCTCATTTTAGTAGAAACTTGTAAGTCAAAAGATACTGAAGCTGTGAGAGAGAAATCACTGGAAAATCCACATCATCTCAAACTTATCCTCCAAAGTAAACTAACCTTGATGCCCGTTTTTAAACCTTTTCTCCCTACCATAATGTCTTAAACAATGTTTTTTCAATGTTCTAAGTTAGAAACAGCATCATCTTTTATTTCCCCTCTCTCTACTTCCGAAGTCAAAGTGTACTACTTCTATTGCACAAACTCAGCTCTAACTACTCTTTCTCATAAATGCATATTTCTCCTTATTCATGTTCCACACAATTCCTTTACCTCTGCAGCCATCCAAGATCTCTCTATGTCATCGATGAGCCTTCAGTGTGGTTCCAGCCAGTCTTCTTACCCACAGCCATTCTCACCATTGTGAATGTCCCCTTGTGCTATGTGGGTATGCCTGGTAAATGAAAATCCAAACCATTACTCACAATGTAAGAGCATTTGTTAAATATTTTTCAGGCCTTGACTCAGAAATGCTAGCTTTTCCTTTCCATCATCCACAACTCTTGAACAACTTGTACACTTCTCACTATTCCTGAACATTATATTTTTCATGACTCCATGTCTTTGTAAGTGTTACTTTGGTATGCAATGCTCTTCTTTCTGCTAATGTTCTAGTAGTTTTTCCTTTACTTTCTTGACCCATTATTTATTATCTAACTTGGGCTATCATTGCTCTTTATCTTTTCTTTTTGTATTGCTCTTACTACTTTTCAAGATATAATTTACTTACTGTAAAATTCAATTCACCATTTTAATTCACACACTTCAATGACTTTTAATATATTCATTAGCCTGTACAACCATCAACACCATCTCATTCCAAAATATTTCTATCATCTCCCCCATCCTCCCCCAGAAACCTCATGTCCATTAGTAGTCACTCTATTTTCTCCTCTTCTCATCCACTGGTAACTGCTAATCTACTTCTATCTCCAGGTGTTTGTCTGTTCTCAACATTTCACATAGCTGGACTCATACAATACGTCATCCTTTGTGTCTAACTTCTTTCCCTTAGCATAATGTTTTCAAAGTTCTTCCATGTTGTAGTATATTAATAAAGTGGTACCTCAGTACCCATCAGCTTCTGAGCTCATCAAACCTGGTACTCATCATATTTTGATGAGAAAAAATGTTTCAGGCCTTGGCCCTTGCTCACCATTTGTCACTTTTGCTAGAACTTGCATGAGTCACAATGCCACCTCTCAAGAGAAAAAGGTTCATCAATTATTGTTAGCTAGCCACTCATCAGAATGAATGAATGACGAGTACTGAGCTACCAATGCACCTCATTCCTTTTGTGGCTGAATAGTATTTATAGTATGGATAAACCACATTTGTTTATTCATTAGTTAATGGGTATGTGGGTTGCTTCTATTTTGGGGTTATTATAAATTATACTTATTTTCAAATAAATTTAATTTGTTTTATCAATATTACTACAGAGCCTCTAATAAAGAACTTCTCTACATATAAGCCCCACTCTCCCAAGGAAACCATTTTTAACTTTATCTTTTTATCCTGATATTTACATCCATTTTCTAAAATAAGCTATTTCCTTTTTTTTTGGACAAAATCTCTTGGTAGTCTACTAGAAAAGAGAAAAATTCAACATTATTTCTCTCCTATCCACATTTCCCACTCTCTGCATCCTCCAGATTGTTATTGCACAAGTTGTTTTATTTTAATAAGCAGTGTACAAACCATAATCATGTACATATTTCCACAGCTGACCCAATTGGATTGGCATAGTATTTATAATCATATAATTTATCTATAACATAGATAATACTTATATATGAATGTATATGATATTCTGTGAATGTGCGTATGTGTATTACTCACAGTTGGCCCAGTAGGTTTGCAGTACTGTCTATCGAAAAGTTTTGAGTTCATTCGAATTCCTGCTTTGTTGGTTTTTATTTTTCTGGCCTGTTTTCTTTTTAATTTTAATTTTGTTTTGTTGTTCTCTCAGGAACATTTTAAAAAGAGCTTCTCTTTTTCCCGCAGAGTGCTGAGAAGAAGTGTATGTGTATATTTAGTTTATTGTGTTTATTACAGAAATTTCTCTCATGCTCTTCTTTGATCATTTTTCTTACCTTTTTATTCTGATTTTGAATTGCTTGGAATTATCCCCTAGTTATCTTTATGTCTTTGGGGGGGGGTTTTTGGTCTATTGTCTGAAAATTCTTTAGCAGTTTCATCAAATCCTACTTTTGATTTTTTAAAAAAATTAGCTCTCCACTTTTTAATTTCTAAGAACTTTGTCTTAACCTTTTCTTTCTTTCTTTCTTTCTTTCTTTCTTTCTTTCTTTCTTTCTTTCTTTCTTTCTTTCTTTCTTTCTTTCTTTCTTTCTTTCTTTCTTTCTTTCTTTCTTTCTTTCTTTTACTATTTTTCCTAAAGAAATAAAATTATGTCTGGTTTCATGAAAGCATTTTTTTTCCTAGGATTTTTTCCCTATGTGTTTGTTTTGGTTCCAGTATTTCTGAAATTTTTCTCAAATGTCTAGTAATCCTTGGCCATTTGTGATTCAATAAAACAGAAGATATAAGGTAATCTTATCAGTTCTACTTGGGGAGAGGAACATCCCAGATGGGGACGTGGAGAGTCCTCCTCCACTGGCAAAAAGTGCTGATCAGCATTTAGGGATTCATTGTCCTCAGTTTTATTATGGTCTTGTCACACATCCCCATTCCAACTTTCAGGGTTATATTTGTTCTCAGTCAAAGCTTTCTCTTCAACAGTAGACACCCATGAGGTTGCGAGTTCAGTTTGTTTATAATTCAGCCACTCAGCCAGGTTTGGTGTGTGATTTTCGGCAATCTCAGCCCTGTAGCTATAGGACAGAAAGGACTCCATCAGGAGACCCAGACAGAGCTCACATATATTTACAAAGCATTTAGCTGAAATTCAAGTCACTGAACTCCTTCTTTTCTTTCCCCACTTAGTGAAGCAAATTTAGGGGCAACCAGCCAATCTCATAACATTCATTGGTTTTGCGGAAGTGTTTGAAAGTATCATATACACAATCACACAGTTCCTTGCTTTATAAGGGGTTGATAGCATGATCTTTTGCATCACTATTTCCGGATCACACTATGGATCAGTGCTCTCATTACTCCTGGAAATGCAATCATTTGATTCTATAATCAGATTAGAAAGCCAACTAAACAAACCCAGAACCAATTCAGGAAACCCATTCTTAAAGTTCTGTTCTGTAGAACTTTTCTGGGTACCAAAATATATGTCAGTTAGGATTCTCCAGATAAACAAAACATATATTCCATGTATATACGTATGTCATAGGTTCATGTGATTACAGAAGCTGTCCCAAGATCTGCAGACAGCGATCTGAGGACCTAGAGCAGCCAATAGTACAGTTTCAGTCCAAAGGCTGGCAGGCTTAAGACTCAGGAAAAGCCAATGTTTCTATACAAATCTAAAGGCAGGAAAAAACCAATAACCCCTTTTTAAGGCAGTCAGACAAGTAATTCCCTCTAATTCAGAGGCAGAATCAACCTTTTTATTCTCTGCAGGCATTCAACTGATAGGGTAAGGCCCACCCATATTAAGAAGGGCATCCTGTCTTACTTAGTCTATCAATTTAAATGTGAAACTCATCCAAAAACACCCTCATGGACACACCCAGAATAATCTTTGATCAACTATCTAGACACCCTGTGACCTAGTCAAGTCGACTTATAAAATTCACCATCACAGCTGGTAAATTTTTGTGCCAGACATTGCCAATTTAACGTTGCTTTGTTCTGGGATGCTGTTAAGCTACTGAGATTCTAAGTTTTATCCTCTTGGGTTTGTTGTAAGATTTGCTGGGCACTATTTGGAGTAGTGTTTAAAATAGGTTTAATTATTTCACAGCACTGAGATAAGATTCTTCTGCATCCTCTAGGAAAGCTGCATTCTTTCCCCCTCTCTGCTTGGTGAGATCGCACACCACTCTGATCCTGCTCCAGGACTAGGCATTACCACTTCTAACCTTTTTGGGTGATTCTTTCCCAGTCATCAGTTTCACTTGTTAACCCAATTTCACTGTTCTGAAAATTAGCCAAAACTCAAATATTATAATCAAATGGGAATTCAGAAGCACAAATGAGGGCCTAAACACTGCTCAGACTTTGCTATTTAACCTTAGGCATTGTCCTCAATCTCCCTTTGCTGCAGTTTTTACCATCTGTTGTGGAAGGACTAGCTGCCTTATGGCATTGCTTAGAAAAGAACTTTAAAACTTTCCCCTGCCTCTAGGAGACCTGGCAGGAAACCCACACACTGGTAACATTGGTTGGACAGATGTTGGAAAAAAAGGAAAGCCCAAGGTACTACTACTGCAGTTCAACAGAGAGATGCAGATGACTTAAAAGCTCATGAAAGAGAATAATCTATCGAGGTTTCCAGGCTACCGGAATAGAACCAAACATGCTCATGCACTTGCAGAATTGACTGAAAAGTAAGGATCACATTACCTTTCACGTAGAATAAAATTCGATACAGCGTCTCTCACACAGGGAAATTAATCTGTCAGGACGAGAGTGCTGCAGACTTAATTATTCTGAAGGATCTTTGGTTTTATAAATGGAGAACTGAAACTACTTTTCAGTGTATAATTTTCAGAATAACGTGTGGGGCTTTTCCTACCAGTGTGGGGGGATGGAAATCAATGTGCGCTTATGGTCAGAAAAATTCAATTAATGAATATGAGCAGGAGAACACCAATTGGTTTTTCTTCTGTGACCCCAAGGTTGCTTTTCAGTATCGATTGTATTTCTTATCCCTTTTAACTGTTTTTCTTCCCCCAAAATCCTTTCCAGTGTAGAAATTGACAATAATAATCATTTGATTTTTGCAGAGATGATCCCATGTCTACACTGTCAGCAACTTTTTATTCATAGGTGGTAGATGGGGGAAAATCCTCAGCTGAACTGTAAAGAGCAGGCTAATAGGCCCTCATTGGGAAGCTGGAATAACTGCTCTGTGAAGCTTCCTGAGAATCTGCCTAGGAACTCTTTCCTTTCAAAAGCAGCTTTTAAGTATGATTAGCCACTGGTTTGGCCCCTGAATTTTTCTTCTGCTTTTTTTGTTCTTCGATTTTAAGTAATAGTTTTAACGTCTTTAACAAAAACCCTTTTAGGTGTTTTATTCTTTAAATCACAGGATATTTGAGAGAACTTAGGACAGATATTATCTAGTGCTCTGTTCTAATTGCTCTGTGGAGCCCTTTGAGGCAACAGAGAGAACCTGGACCCCCCCATTCCCTCTCCACTGTCAGTTTAATATATTGGTTTATCCTTATGATTTCATTTCAAGAGAATTTTAAGAAAAATTTTAAAACCTCATCCAATCCTCTAACTTTATGGACAAGGCAACTGAAAGGTTAAAAATGTGTCGCAGCTCCCCTAGTCAGTGCAGAGCTGGGAAAACTATGTACTTTGACCCTTTTACTTCCACTCAGCAATCTTCCCACTACCATACACTATCTTTACTTGTGTATGTGACATGCATTGAGTCGGCTTACATTTTTCCATACCTATTTCACATTTGTTAGGACTCTTCCTGTTGTTATTCCTTCTACATTGTGGAAAACAGTCTGGTTCAGCTTTGGGTTTCCAAATCCCAACTTCCACCAATGTGAAAGAGACGAGCTTATTTTAATTCTTTCATTCTTAACATGAACCTTTCTAGTAAAGAAATTTGCTTGGTAAGCACAGATTACCAAGCAGATTTCACCAAAAACCTACTAAAACTAATAAATAAAGTAGTAAAGTAGCAGGGTTCAAAAATTAATATTCAGAAATCAGTTGCATTGTTATACAACAATTGTTACATCAATTGTTATACATCATTGTTATACACCAATACTGAACTAACTTAGTTTTCTTAGAAAAGGAAACTAAGTAACTGAACCCATGTAAGTTGCATCAATAAATACCTAGGAATAAATTTAACCAAAGACATTGAAGAAAGCAATTGAAGAAGATATAAATAAATAGAAGCATATACCATGTTCATGGACAAGAAGAATTAACATTATTAAAATGTCCATAACATCCAAAACAATCTACAGATTCAATGCAATTTCTATCAAAATGCCAATGATGTGTTTCACAAAAGTAGAACAAATAATCCAAAAATTTATATGGAACCACAAAAGACCCCAAATAGTCACAGCATTTTGAGAAAGAAGGACAAAGTTGTAGGAATCATCTACCTGGTAGCAAAGTATACTTCAAGTCATATTAATCAAAACAGTATGGTACTGATAAAAAATAAATGGACATATAGATTAATGGGACAGAATAGACAGCCCCAAAATAAACCCATGCCAATGGGTTCATTAATATTTGACAAAAGAGACAGGTACATACAATGAGGTAAAGACAGTCCACTCAATAAATGGTGTTGAAAAACTGGATAGATACATGCAAAAAAATGAAACTAGACCAACTTCTTGCATTATATACAGGGATTAACCAAAAATGGATTAAAGACTTAAATATAGGACTTGAAACCATAAAAACCCTAGAAGAAAACACAGGCCAAAATCTTGGACATTTCTCTTAGCAATATTTTTTTTGATACATCTTCTAAGGCAGTGAAAACAAAATAAAAAACAAATGGGACTACAAACTAACAAGTTTTTGCACAGCAAAGGAAACCATCGACAAAATGAAAAGAAAACCCACTGAATGGGAGAACGTATTTGCTAATGATACATCTGATAGGGGGTTAATACCTAAAATTTATAAAGAACTCATGCTACTCAACATCAGAAAACAAACAACCCAGATAAAAATGGGCAGAGTATTCGAAGAGACATTTCTCCAAAAAGATATACTAACGGCCAATAGACATATGAACAGATGCTCAGCGTCACTGGTCATCAGAGAAATGCAAATTAAAAACACCATACTTATCACCTCAGACCTCTCAGAATGGCTATCATCAGTAAATCAACAAACAAGTGCTGGCAAGGCTGTGGAAGAAAGGAACCCCTGTGCACTGTTGGTGGGATTGCAGTCACTGTGGAAAGTAGTATGAGGGTCCTCAAAAATAAAAAATGCAACTGTCTTAGACCCAGTGATTCTGCTTCTGTGTGTATATTCAAAGAAACACAAACCACTTCTTTGAAAGGACAGATACACTCCTATGTTCATTGCAGCATTATTTATAATAACCAAGCTATGGGAGTCAGGAGAGCAGCCCTTAGTTACATTCTGAGTCTCTGCTAGTTCCTTCTCTCTCCGGAGAGCAGACCTTAGTTCCCATCTTGAGTCCCTGCCACAAACTTCTTCCTCAGTCCCTGCCACAACCTTCTCCCTTCTGCCTGGCTCCAAACGTGGCCACAGCTATTTAACATATCTATGAAACCAGTTAAAGGTTATAGATATGTTAAATAACCATTCCTCCAGAGGTTAGCTCCAAAACTGTTGCTATGCAAAATAGCTCTTAATGGCCTGGCTCCATTCATCCCTTCCCCCTGGGGGGGGGAGGCGGTGAGGACATCTTATGTGTCTCTCCAATATTTCTATACACTTTGAATTCTGGACACCTTTCCAAATCTTTTTTTGGGGGCCCCCGTGGCTGCACCCTGTATCAATCCCAGTGCCCATCATTACACAAGTGGATAAAAAAGTGTTGATACATACATATAATGGAATAATACTGTCATTAAAAACAATGAGATCTTACCATTTGTGACAGCATTGATAGACATAGAAGGTATTATGTAAAGTGAAGTAAATAAGTCAGATAAAGACAAATACCATACAATTTCATTGACATGTGGAATCTAAAGAACAATGTAAGTGAACAAACAAAACAGAAGTAGATTCATGGATACAGAGAACAGGCTGATGGTTGCCAGAGGGGAGGGAGATTTGGGGACTGTGTGGTTGAGAAGTGAGTATTAATAGTTACAAAATAATCATAAGGATGTAAAGTACAGCATTGGTAATAAGTCAATATATTATAATAACCATATGTGATTTCAGGTAGGTACTAGAAATATTAAGGGGAACACTTTGTAAAGTTTGCCTACCCACTCTGCTGTACATTTGAAACTAATACAAAATAATATTGAATGTAAACTGTAATTGAAATGTAAAAAGTTTTAAATGTATTTCAGAAAAACTGCTATTAGAACATGGAGACCACTAATATTTCAGCAGTAATAAGGGTATGTAACTTGTTTACACAATCAAAGGGGGTTTTAAATCTATAGTTCTTAGTGCATTTGATTTTTTAGGCTTTTCTATTAGCAAAATTTGGGACTACCTGTACCTGCTGTCATAATATCCTTCATCTGCCAATTTCTTTTCCTATTCTTCCCCCAGCCCATCCCACTTACCTTACTATTCTTTATTTAAGGAGGTCTTTATTTCTCTCAGTTAGCTACTGAGAGAGTTTCTGTGGGGAATGGGCCATATCTTCTGACCATGGTTTGCATAAGAATTGTTTAGCCATACCTACTCATAGCCAACAAGGGTAAAAAACCATGAACTTCCCCCCTAATATAGCGGCTCCTCCCTGCCTCTCTTGTCTTGATGTTACAGAGGTGGCTCTGGGTTTTACACTTCAGGGTATGCTCCCCAGTCTCACTGCTTTTCCCTTAAATCCATAGCTGCTGCCGACCTTCCCAATGTGGTCTCCCCCACCCTTGCCCTACGTGTCTACCTGATCCAGTGCCGTTCTGGTGTACATCACTCCAGTTATTTGTAAATCTGGACTTTTAGTGGTTGACTCCTAGTTTCATAAAAAAAATCATTTTTTAAAAATTTTTTGTTTCACATCTCTTTGTTGTTTAGGGATAGTTTTTTGGGAGAAGAACATGCTGACGTTTTACTGCCTTATGTTAACTGAGGTCTAAACTATTTATTGCCTTTGTAAACCACCCTCTAATGGTTCCATTACAATGATATCAAGCATTTTCTTGGCTTTGAAGACGAGCTTTCCTCTTTCATTACAGTTTTCTGGTGCCCTTTTCATTCTTTCTCATGTCCTAATTTGCTGACGTGCCTCTGAACAATCATTTTTGCAAATTCATTCAGCAAGTTAGCTTCTGTAATGAAACCGGGTATTTGAATTCCGTGTAAGCAGGTTTCCTTTCAGTTCCTTGGCTTCCTTGGATTTCAATTTCTGTTTTATTGTACTTGTTCAATTTTAAAAATTCTATTCTATTCATTTCATTCTATTTTAATTTCCTTGCTAGAAAAAAAGCAGAAGCAAAATAAGAGCAGAAAGGGTCCGCTTTCTCCCTGTCACCTGTTACCAGAGTGTTACCTTCCCCCTGCAGTGTCTTGTCCCTGACCGTGAAGAGGAAAAGACACCATGATTATAATAAAAGAGAAATCTGTCTTTAAAAAAAAACATTCTTACATTGTTTTCTAAGCACGCACAAAATGAAATACGCATTTTTGTGCTTGGCTGTTCTACTCAAGTATTTACTCATTTTAAATAAATGGTAGAATGAATAAAAAATTAATATTTTGTACAGATGACTACATTTATCCCATTATTATCATATGCCCTTAATGACACAGTTTTTGTCA